AAAGAATCTTCAATGTACGTTACTTGTATTCATTTCAAATTCTGATATAAAAATGATAAAGGACTTTCTTGTCAAATAGATTTTACATATTTTGTTCTTGAAAATGCAACCCTCATCGGCGTTCTATTACTTTGATTTTATAATGGATTCTGTTTTCCGTAGGATGTGAGACTCATTCACTAATGGTCTAATTAGCGAGATGAGTTAAATGGAACGACTAGTCGGCTAATTTGATTTACATCCATCGCTGGCATGAAGTATCCTGTTCCTTTGGTGATAAGTATAGCGCTGATTCGGTGTTTTGTGCAGTACAAAAAGCAGTGAATTGCGGTACAGAATTACGCTAGAATTACGTCAGTTTAAGAAGACAGACTCAGTTTATGAATCCGTCCCAATATCCCCGCAATTTTCTGGCATCAGTTATTCTTTTTGTTCTAAACAATCTTGGTAACAAATTAACATCTTTATCGGTCAGTTGTAAAGATTAACAATTTATGTTTTGATTAATGGCAGAATTAAGAGCGTATTAAAGCGGTGGAATCAACAAGCGTATTGTTTTAAAGCGCATTTGGGAGTGAAGAATGAAAGAAATGCGGCATCATTCATTAGACAGAGCTAGTTAGAAATGATGGAAGTATCTGATTTTTCCTAAAAGGCTTCCATACTAGTAAACTGTAAGAGGAAAAATTATAGATGGTAATATGTCCTTTTTTTCTGGTCAGCTAGTAAGAGTTATCAGAATTAACTTTGATAACCTAACAGTGAGGATTCTAATTAAGCACTTTCGATCTTTGAGAAAAGGGCCAAAGTAATGTGCCAAGTACCAAATATAACGCCCACTGCACAAATTCTTAATTGATAATGCATAAAATAATGGCCGAGACAAATACATGTAGTGGTATTTACATTTCTCAACAATGATAAGTTATGAAGAATGCGAAGATCAGCAATTATTTGGATATGGAGATAGTGTATAAAACTGTAACGACATGTCTTTCAAGAACTAATGCACTATTATTCAGATGAGATTGCTGAATACATTCTGATATCGTCGGATTTTTAGATCTCATCCTTTTGCGAGCTTTATAAGACTTTTTCCTCAATATCTCAAAATTCATTTAATTTCGTCGTCTTATAAGATGATTGAAAATGAAAAAAAAAAAACGAAATTTCTAGAAATATTTACAGATAATAAAATTATTTCGTCTTTTCTGAAAGACTTTTATAATAAAATTATTTCGTTTTTCCTGAAAGACTTTTTGGAGGTATACATTCACAATTTGCGTAGGAAAATATTAAAAATAATACAACATGACACACTAATTCACATAGTAACAATTTCAATCAAGTCGTGTATTTTTTACTGATCATGCCTAATGAACTTGGAAATTTAGAAACTATAAAGAAATTGATATTCGTATTTTAGGTCATAGAACAGCAGACAAAAAAAAAAATATCAAACGACCAAACATGGTTGTTTACAATGATTTTTTATCCAATTAATCCCCAAAAAATGCTGCGGAATTATGTGAGGAGAAATTAGAATTCACGAAAATGGTTTCACGAAAATGAGCCAGTGGTTTCGCACTGGTTCATCATTTCAATGATTTCAATCCTATTCTCTGGATTCAACCTAAGAAATATTAAAATTATTCCAACATTTCTGTAAGTTACTTTAGTAATTCAATTATTTAAATTGAGTTATTTAAAGATATACATCCTTCTATGACGAGTAGTGCAAGGAAGTAATTAATTCGAAATGATTGGAAAGAGGTGACACCTTAACTGCATCTAGATTAGAATAATCCTATTGCAGTGGACCATCACTGGCTCGGGCTAATTGGAAACTGTGGCTGTTGCGATAATGCAACACAGTAATAAGCAGGGAGAACGTAAGAAGACTGTGAGTTAGATGCCTGACTCATCATGGTCGACATATTCGGTAATGGTGCAGTATTTGCGGCGCTATTTTCCTGCATATTCAACATGGAATTTCCCTGCATCACTGTTGCTGACAGTGGACAAGTTTGGGCATAAAGCTGTGAAGTTGGTTCAGGTGTAATCGGTACTGAAGCTTCATGCTCAGATATAAAAAGCACTCTGGAATCCTGACCATTATACTTTGAAACGTGAACCATATTAGCTCCAAAAGATGTCACTGCTGATTCATCATTTGAATGAAACTGTCGCATAGGATCCAACGGATCTTTATGGTTCGACGGTTTCCAAATTTCTTGTGCTTTCTGCAAAACATCATTAAAGCATTCTTGCCAAAATCAAGATTTTAGACAATCAAGCAAACAACACCAACGTGACAGCACATAGGATTCCTGTCTCCTGTTGCTCTGCTAAAATAAGATATATAGTGCGCTTTAGGGGCAACAAGTGTAATCCCTCTTATAAAAATGACGGTTTTATTTCGTATCATGCCTTGCCTGTAATCTGCGTCTCTGTGCTATATTTACTTTTCAGCCAACAAAATAACAAGAACAAGAATTTAATTTTAACGGTTAAGAAAACCCTCTGAAAAGACTGACCCCAAAATAATCTTGCAAAACTTTGCTCTGTCGAAGCACTGGATGAGCAAGTACATAATTCAAGAACGTTGTTATTGATGACGTTCTTTCGCCCACAATTTGGGCACTTTGGTTTCCAAAAATAACTCCTTCTGCAAACTGCGGAAATGAACCATGCAGATGTAACTGGAAAAAAAATGAAGTTTTCGTAAGGTTGATTCTATTTAAAAAAGAGGAATGTATGTAAAACAGCACGCTATATAGCCATCAGGACGTCCTACGAAAGTCCTTCTGGTTCTCTCTTCATTCTATGCATGTTACTGGGATAAGTCAAGAAATACATGAAAGCGCAAATTTCAAATTAAATGAAACATATCATGTACTGGACAACTAGGATCAGATGCTCAGTAGCATTGGAATTTGAAAGGTGATCTTAAATTGGCAGGCATGAAAGAAATCTGAAAAGCCCATACCTTTTTATGTAATTCAGCCAACTGTTCCCAAAGACGTTTCACTTCTCTAAAACGTGTCCACATATCGAAAAATCGAGTACTTGCTGCAAGGGAATCAGAAGGTATCGCCTGCAAAATAAGCTGTAGCCACTTAATTCTTCTGATTCATCTCGACAGATATTTCTCAAATCTCAAACATGCTCTCTGTCATGGCCAGAAAGTAGTGTTTTGCTTACATTTTCTATTAAGTCTAATACATTTTCTGCTGTTCATTAAGATTTCCTGTTCAATGACTACATTATATGGTCGGGAAGGGAAGAAAACTATTTTTACATACTCAAATTCTATAACGCCATTTCAAACAGCTAAATTTCGCATTCGGCTTATACTGTTGTCTCATTTAACATAGCAATTGTTCTAACTATATTCTAAGTAAAACTGCGTCAAAAAACACTTACACAAACTGACATTTGATATTCAATATGAGAAGTAAAGAAACTCGACATGGTGTTCGTATTAACAATATTCATATGAACATTCCACTCGTTCGGATTAGCATAAAGGATGCGACCCAAGTCGTTACTGCAAAAGCTTGCATCGCTGAATAACAGTGGCATGATGTCCAATTGCGATTCTTCTAGAAAAGAAAAAACAAGTCGAATCCTAATAAGGACTTTAAGAACAACAACTATAAAAGTCTGCCTAAGACATTTAATACATTCTACCACCAACCAGTGATGATTGGAATTTAAATCTATACATTCCTTAATTATCATAAAACTGGATTACTAGAGCAAGTATATGGAGCTGAAAGCATTACAAAACTTGAAATTACACAGCCTGAAATTAAAGCTAATTTAAAAATACTGTGTGCCACAAATTGCCAAAGAAACATTTCAAATTAACCTTTTGTCTGGACTGGAAAGAACCCACCACAAAATTTCACAAAAATGAGACAACATTGTACAATTGTTGTATTTTTTTTTCAAATAATATTGAGAAAAAAACATGTTACTGTTTTTGCAATAAAATAAAAAACAAAAACTGGCAACATATGAAATACTGAGCAATATGCAAAACGGCGATTACAGTAAAAATTGTTGAGGTTGTAAATGATGAAACTAAGTACTACACAGTTTAATAAGCATATCAATGATTGTCGCAAATTTCGCGATTGAAAACCGGGAAAAAGTAAAACAAAATTGGACCCTCTACGACATAATAAATGATTTTGAAAAATAATCGGTCACACTCGAGTAAAAGCAGTAGATAAGCAGATTCTACTTCAATATACAAAAAAAAAAGGAAAAGATAGATGGCAGTCCGACTGCCAGTGATGAAAATAATATAGATGGCAGTCAATTGCCAATAATGGATGAAACGAGGTAGAAATAGATGAAACATGCATTTACTATACAATAATTATTCGCAATGCGAGCAAATTTAACAACAGTAATAAAAAAAATCTATAAGCATAAGAATATCGAACCAAGGTATACACAAAAAAAAAAAAAAAAAAGAAAAAAAGAAAAAAACACGTCATGAAAAACAGAAAGAATGAAAGTAAGGCATTGCAAAGTATATGTTAATGCAAATAGCAGTCTAACTGCCAATAATTTACAGGAGAGATTAATAATGTCTTGAAACTCACTGCGAGTACTATAATTTACTTGCTGCAAAATTAATAATCCTTTTTTAATTTCCCCATAAATTGTTCTCCCCTAACCGCTTTGCTAATTCAGTAAAAACAGAACTATCTGAAAACTGTTTTACTCCTTCCTTTATCCTTTTTTTAAGTTGAGAACGCGTGCAGTTAATCAGTTTCAGCAATGCCGTAGAATCAGATTATTACACATCTACCTATCCTACAATTGCTATGCATCACTTTCCTGCAAAATAGTACGACGTGTTCGTGCATTGAATGCATGATATTCTTCATCCCTACTTCGCCGCCAGAACCGGTTAGGAAGACATCATCCGCCAAATGGTACTAATTCTAAAAATATGAAAATTTGATGTAATTTTCAAAAGAAAATTTCAATGATCATCGGTGGTTATCGATCAATTTCTCCGAAAACAAGGTCCAGAGTACCAATAACCGCCACAACGTCAGATAACAAGGACATGTAACATATATCATCGATTGCAGCAAGATGTGGAAATCTGAAAATGCAAAAATGAGCACCTGAAATGCATCTGATAAAAAATAAGACGTTGAGATTTACGAAACCTTTCAAAAAAGAAAGATGAAAAAAATACCCAGGTGATCGAGCAAAACACCGATAAGGTCTTGATTCACCTTGTGATACCAAATAAACACCAAATTCTCCTTTGGGGGCTTCAACTGGAACATAAGTAGCACCGGGTGGCACCTGATAACCTTCAGTGTAATATTTGAAGTGGTGTATCAGCGATTCCATATTTTGCTGTAAAATTATTTAATTTATTTAAGATGAGTTTAACCTGTCCAACAACATTTGCACCGTAACATAATAATACCCAGGTAATCGGTCGAATACTTTACATTTATTATAATCACTGTTATAAGTGTGTGTGTAATTTAAGATAAATTCATCTTCTAAAATGATCATGGCACAATTCAAAAAAAAGAAAAAAATTATATATTTAAACTATAACTAAAATTATTTCAACTTTACCTTCATTTCGGCACGTTTAGGAGGAACCACTTTGTGGTCGTCAACTTTAATTTCACCGGGAGGCATCTTATTTAAACATTCAAAAATAATTTTCACACTTTCACGCATTTCTTCCATTCTTATTAAATATCTGCAACGATAATAATAAAAATATATGCCATATAATACGGATAGAATTCCGAATATGCTGGACACATTTACCTATCGTAACAGTCTCCTTTCACACCAACAGGAACATCAAAATCCACTTGATCATAAGCATCATACGGCTGTGATTTACGTATATCCCATTTAATACCGGATCCACGAAGCATAACGCCAGAAAAGCCCCAAAGCAAGGCATCCTCAGCTTTAACAAGTCCAATGTCTACAGTTCTTGCCTAAACACAATTGAGAAATCAGCTAGAATAATCACAGATCTCATACATCTTTATGGTTCAAATGCTGGAAAAAAAAAAATTGTAAAAAGTGAACGTTTTCGGTGGCATCGTAGATCCACAAAACATCAATTCTCCTATAGAACTAAAACAAAATTACCATGAAAATGCGGTTGCCTGTTAACAGATCTTCCATCATATCCAATCTCTGTGGAAACCGTAATGCCCAGTCATATACATCATCCATCCAACCAAGTGGTAAATCCCATGCAACACCTCCTGGACGCACGTAATTTGAATGCATTCTAGCTCCACACACCCGCTCACTGAAATTGAAAAATCACACGACTACAGAAAATTCGTGATCTCTGGCTCAACCGAACCACCTACTATTTTTCTGGAATGTGTCAAGATAATATAAGAAAAAAAAAAGCAAAATGCACCACAATCTTCTATAATTGAAACTTCAATATTCGCGTCCTCCAAAGCCAGGAACTATAAGTTCCCAGATAATATCTGGAAATAATTTTAATTAGCTTACGTGAACTCAAACATCTTTTCACGTTCTTCAAACATCCAAAATAAAGGAGTCATTGCACCAATATCCAAAGCGTGTGTTGTAACACCCATCAAATGATTCTGTATACGAGTTAGCTCATTCATTAGAGCTGCAAATAATGCTACCTGATTATTACCATTACTGTAAGTTTAAATAACTGAAGATAACAATATCGAAGGTTAGTAAATAATTTTACTAACATTTTACTAACAGAGTACAGATACACATGGGTGGGAAATTATCATTCCGTAGGATTTGAAAACAAACCAAATGCTTGAAATATGGAAATCAAGGAGTAAAACTTGAATGGTCTACATGGATTCTGCAATATCACAATATCTGAGAGGATTTGGATAAATGAAAACTGGCCTGTCAAACTATAACACACCACTTTTGAATAGGAATTTAAAAAAAAAAATTGGAAGTATTAATAAAAGGAACTTCTGATAAATTTAGCTCTTGGCGGAATATCAACTCCTAATAATTTTTCAACAGCAAGTGCAAATGCTGTTTCGTTACACATCATCGATACATAATCCATGCGATCGAAATATGGTACAGCTTGAGTATAAGTCTTGTATTCGATCAGTTTCTCTGTGCCACGGTGCAGAAGACCGATATGCGGAGTTGCTTTCATTACGATCTAAAAAAAAGATATGTTTTGTTAAAATTCATTGCATTCTGAATCCCATGGACATAGTCAAAATTTAGTAACCTGACGCTTTTTTTTAAAATTTAGTAACTAAAATTCCCCAGAGATACTATCCAGATTAAGCAAGGGATCGTTGTCCAAAAAAATTAATATTGGTGTTTAGCACTGTAGAAATGAATATTAACAAAATTTCAATCTATATTTGAAATTAAACTAAAATCTCGACGATACTTCATTGTCCAATTCGAGTACGAGACGAAGAACTCCATGTGCTGCCGGATGCTGTGGTCCGAAATTTAACAAGTAATAATGCAATGGCTTTTCATGTATTTCACTTAAATCGGGTAGAACCGGTTGCCAACTTAATTTCTCAAATATTTGATCAATTCCAACATTCTTATCATATTGTGTCGGTTTTGGCATCCAAACCCGCCCAACAACACCTGCTTTCTGAAAAATGAATGCAAAAAATGAAGACTTAAGGCGTCAAAACTTGGGAAGTTTGAAGTAGGCTTTGTCAAACAAATATTAATTACATTATTTTTCCTTGTTAAAATTAAGAGATAGAAACTATATACTAGAAGCTCACACCATATCCAGGACCTTCTCGAACTTTGCTTTAAAATAAGGTGACCTTGAATTCATGCATAAATTCAGCATCAGGATACCACAGATTATGTGAACCACGTTTTCCATATAATAAAGTATTTGATGCTGATCGAGTTATTTGGGTTAGTAAGAATCTAGCTTGGCCCACTGCACTCATTTTCCAGTTCAGCCCCTGTAATCACTTATTTACGCAGTCTGCATTATTTAGAATAATTAAGCAAATCTAATGCTCGACGTCTAGTAAACTCATATATTCGATAACGATGTAGTTATATTTATTGTTCGCTATGTAGCATTAATGTGAAAACCATGAGTTAACTTCATATATAATAATGTAACTAACCGTATTGCAAATACTAAGTCAAGAACAGTAGTTTTATATTTATTACAAAAGCCTGACTGAAGAATACTGAACTGAGTCATATGAATTGTTATAACTTCATGAAAGAGTTACTTATTAACCAAAGCCAATAATTCCTACAGGATTCCTGTCTTCAAGGAATGCATGTAGCTGATGTCTTCTAAGCACCATTTTTTACGTGTTCGAATCAGATGTTTCCTTCTTTCGGATAATTTAAATTAGGTCAAAAACCAACATTTTAACTGGTAGTATTCCAAGGACCTATGGGGACACTAACATCTTCTGAAAATTTTTTTCTCTGAAAGAAAGTCAGAACTTTTGCTCCTAAAAAGTGAAATATTTTATAGAAAAATATTCAGTATAGGCTTTCAATAGTCACGGGTATATAACGTGATGCAATTTGTGCTCTACGTGATACACGTGAGAAATCCACGAGTAACTTTAATGTAAAAAAAAATACTGTTGGTTGTTTTGTTCGTATATATACGCGCTACGCGCAGTAATGCCATTATAGAGATGTGAAAACCACTCCCGTTAATATCACTTCCACTCTACCGCCCAGACCACTCGACAACACAACACCTTCATCCTCGTGATACTCATGTCGTCAAAGTTGGAGTAATCTCTTTTGTTAGTTGTGGGCGCAGCGCATTTTCTCCTCTTTTTTAAGGTGAGAAGATAAGTTACGAAAAGAGTCATCGAAGTTTTCAAGTGCGAAGTTATCAGCTGAGTCAGGTTTTCTTATGGATCTCTGTTTACTTGTAGACTTTGTGTTTTGTACATATCGATTGCGCAAACGTGTTTTCTTGATTACGTAATAAGTGTGTCCATTGAGCTTATGGCTTCGTCTCATTTTCATGCTTGAGAGAAGAGCAGATAATCTTCAGGTGTGGAGGAAAAGAAAAAACTGTTCTCACATATTGATCTTTGGACATATTCCGGATCAAAGGTTTGTTATTCATTTCATTTATGGACTGACCAATAGTAACTTACTGATTACAAGTAAACGAAATAAAAGTCAGTCAGAAGAGTAGCAAAGAGTCTGCCTCTGTTGAAATTATATAATAAAAGTACTAATTTTAAACCAACTCAAGCAGAGGAAAAGAAGAGATCATTTGATCATATCTTTATTAAGATTATTTATTGATTTTACAAGATCCAGTACTTTTCATGTAGAAGCAGTTACTTTTAGTAGTTTTAAAGGGACAAGACTGGAAGGTTGGTAATTCCTGTCTTTTTCAGTTATCATTAATTTTGGGGATACAGTTAAATACACTAAATCACAAGACATAAAGACTGGTCTCATTTTCAACTGTATTTGAGTGATAGATATGCAAGGCAGATCGTTGTTTTGGAACTTCACACCTGTTCATATCAGTTCAAGTAAGATGCTGTTCTCTACGATCTTTGCAATAGTAGAAAGGTCAACTTACTCATAAGATTATATTCATTCGCTTGTGAGCTGCAGATGTCTTCAAGCATGAAATGATGACTTCCATAAGACATGCAGTTCCTTAGTGACATCATTGACGACCATTCCTGTTCATCGATAGTCATCCTGCTTTCAGCAACCAAAGATTATCGCTATCTTTCGAGAAACTGTAATTATGACGTAAAAAACACGACTACGTATGATTATATTGTAGAAGTCCTAGCTTGATGCACAAGATAAAATGTAACCACATTTTTTTCCGAAAAGGATTGGGTAATAAACATCTTTCGCAATAGACTTTTTAGGATATGATATATAATTCACAAATGAAAGGATAGAAGTAGAAGAACCCTACACATTCACAGAATCGAGGTGGATGCGCCGATTGTCAAATGAGTAACTAACCAGAATGTGCACGAACGTCAAAGTACCATATAATATATGGTACTATTTTAACTGACCCTGTTCTTTATTCTCTACTCATAGTATTACGCTTTAGCACATCTTGTAACTTCTCTAACGGTTTTACTCTCCTCTTGCACAGTTCGTGCGGACCGTGGTTAGTCGGTTCAGGTCACAATCGATACATTATTTGGGGAGTTTCCATGGAGCTGCAGCTTCATCCTCAGTTTTTTTGCCGCCATTTTTCTGTAGTCTTCTTCTGATATGTTGGTACGTCTTCTGCATGAGGGTTTGGTTTGATAATAATACACACGCAGACACACACGCATACACAAACACACACATACATATTCAATACTTTTTTATTGTTCCAATACTACGTTCAGCGATTTTCTACACACAATTCACACTATGCTTCAAAGTAATTCTTTTAAAATGTGTTCAAAAATTTCTTGCTATGGTAACCGCAGCTACATTAACTTCAGTTATCACTTAAACATGGAATTTTATAATTTCAATGAGATGCCATCTTGACATTTCGTTCCTTGTTCTTGTTAAGGTTATCAGTCTTGAATGGCTGTTGCTTAGGTTAGTTGAAATCAACTTAACATAAAATAGATTTCGAATATTAAGTGTTAAATGATATAGAATTTTATTGTGCTGAAACATACATGTTGCAACATTAAAAGAACTTATTCAGAGTAATTGATGGGGTTATTAATAAAGAGCCTATTAATAAGAATAGACCTTCTACACTTCAAAATAAAATTTGCTTCATGTTTTAATTCGTTGGAATCATCAAGTATTATGTGATTTGTGAAGGATTTCGAATATTAAGACATTTAGTTCGATTGACGAAAATTTAGACTTCTCACCATCTTTTCATTAATTTTCAGTGAAAATTTCAATCCCAAGTGCTAAATATAATTTTCATGTGAAATGGAAGCCAGCACTATGGGAACTGCTGTACTTCATGGTAAGGATTATTGGATACAATTTAATTTTTTGTAGTTTTTTGAGTTCTTTTAAATTCCAATTGCTATAAAACATTATTGCACGAAAGTGAGAACAAATAGCAACACCTCATCTGCAACTATCAATTTTTTGTCACGTATGCGAAGGATTTTTTTTTTCATGACTTCTAATCACTCTTCGTCTTTTTCCAGGGCCATCTTCAGCATTCGATCCAGATCGAGAAATGAAGGATCGTAAATTGGCCCAGATATTCAAAAAATTGCATATGGAACAAGTAAGTTGGTGCTTTTTTTCTTAGCAATTCCTGTAAAGTTCTTCATAATAGCTGCGAAATATCTATTTCTTATTTAAATTTGAAATGCAAACTGTAAGTTTTTAATCACATTGCTACACTGCTAAGAGCCCATATCTGTTTCAGCGTATTCTACAGTTATTTAATTTTGTAAATATCAGTTTATGTGATAGAAGGTATTCATATAGTATAAATGTATAAATTCATATAGTATAAATACATATAGTATAAATGTAATCTTTAAATGTTTATTTCCAACCTCTTAGGTATATTCTATCTTTTTGGAGTAATCAATGAACTATTATTTTCTGGTAACGCATATTAAAGGAGAGATTTCTCCTTCTAAAAATTTATTGGTCAGTTTTACTAACAGTTTTGATGGATGGGAATAAATATCTGCTGAAGTTGTAATTGGAAAGGAAGTAAGATACGTCTGAAGCTTAAATTTGATGGTTATATAGGCGTATAGCGTTTATGGCTACATGGATGAAGTCCAAATGTTTGCTTTCTTCTAGGATTTGAATACTTTGTTGGATTTTGATGACACTATTCCTCGTCCATCGAAAGTTCCTTTAAATCATGTAGACGAATTGAGTAAGGACAAAGTTGAACGTTGTCGACCACGTAAAATACTTGATTATGCTGTACTGGCCAAAGGACAAGGTGAATACTGTTTTTTACCACTTAGTTGTCATAAGCTTTGCTAGAATTAGTAAAAAGCAATTTATTTTTATCTAATTTGTTGCTGCAGTTCTGTTTTTGTTCAGAAAGTTGTGGGATGAAAAGTGGATAGACTTGCAAAGCTTGCCTTTACGTTGATTAATAAATTTAAGAATTGGATGCACAACATCCTTAATAGCTGTTTTAACATGCGAAATCTTTTCAGGTTATCGAAATAATCTTGTTGGGTCTTTTGCAAGCAGTTATTCAGAAACGGGTGGCTCTAATAAAAGTGGATCTGGCTGCAAACGAATACGCTTTCAAAAAGATCGGTTTAACGATAATATTTCAAAGTTTAGTGTCAAACGGCATTCCCGATGTGGCCGATACGTTTCTGCCCCCAAAAAAAGTAGCAGATCGCGGCGCTTTTCATTTCCACCGACAGCAAATGGTACCAAGAAGAAGGAAACACCAAGATCACAAAGTTTTGCTTGTGGAACGAAAGGAGGTATCCTGAAAAGACACGTGAAAGATGCGAACAATATTAGACAAGCATTTCTCATTTCGAAAAAAGTACTAGATAGCCAAAATCAGCATTTTGAAGAATTCATTCTTCCTGAAAAATGGATCAAGGAGTCGCAGAAAAGAAATAAAACAAAGAAGATAAAATCTAAAAAAGAAGAGAGCGCCAATATCGCATCTGTTGAAGATCTGGCAATGGAGCGTCTCGTAAGAGCTTTCAAAACCGCAAAGCTTTTATATCCTGAAAAATTTGCAGAGTATTTCCCAGACTTTATGCACTGTTTCGAATCAGATGTCAATAAAGAAAAGCGAGGTAACAAAAATGGTGTTATGTCGAAGCAAGTTTATCTTAAAACTGTCAAAAATGAAGAGATTGCTATGACATTCGACAAAAATATTGCATTGGATTCTGGCGATGATCTGCCGAAAAGAATTCGTAAGATGCCAAAAATTTTACGAGAATATTCAACAGGTGCTGAAATAGCAGGAAAAAAGCTAGTCAGTTTGAAAGAACAGATCCCCTCAGTAACACAAAAGATTTCACGTATTGATAGTCCTTTGGCGGGCACCTCGGGATTCCGTAAGCGATCAAAAAGATCAGATTCACCATCGAACCAGTCGATGCTTTCTAAATCTCAGCAGAATGAAAAGGCAGAAAATACTAAACAAATGGGAGATTCAGAAGAAATGGGCAAAGTTCCGACATCGAAGAGGCGTAGATGTGCTAAGAGTGCCTTTCGTCCCAGCGCATCAGTCGTGAAAGCTACCAGTGTTAATGCAACAGTTATCCAAAACAACATTGAAGATAGTGCAACAGAATCTTCATCTGATGAATCAGGCAATATGCGCTCGCCTAAGAGACAGCGGGCTCAAAGTGGTTTTTACAAGTATGTATTTTCATGTTATATTCAACTTTTCATTTTATGTGAAGGAAACTTCAAAAAAAAGAAAAAATAGTCTTTATGGGAGTTGTAAAAATTTGTATTAAGTAATTCCTTCCATTGGCCTTAATCCTCATGCTTTATTGGTTTTTTATTGGGGGTTTTTTTTTGGTTTTAACCACCGATTTCATCTCTTGAAGGATCTCAAAAATTAACTTGCCGTTATATATATATAGTTTGTTTGGCTTAGTTTAAATCTTATTCTTCAGGACGCTAGTGACACTGTACGACAAAAAACGTTCATAAGCGTTTGAGAAATCTGTGGGTTGGAGAAAAAAGAAAAACAATTGACCTGAATTGTATGCATAAACTGCGAACACCTGGATGTTTTTCTTTATTTTCTAAGTACTTTATTGTTCTTACAGTAGTTTTTGTACTTCAAATTGTATTCCGAATTTTGTTAAAACTCGGAATTCTAAATCTGATGAGGAGCAGCAACAGTCACTGTTAAGTAGAGTCACTGTGCAATTTTTTTAGGTTTTGAAGTACCATTTAATTTCTAATTGGAGTTGTTCCTTCTATTCATTTGTCTGGCCTACCTTAAGCAGTACGCAGGAATTACCTGAATAACACTAATTTGGCTTAATGGTTGGATATATATCAAAATTTCGAAGAATCTATCAAGATACAGGGTTACGAAAGTTTTCTTCAGGAAAGAATTAAATTCTTGGTTTTATTGCTAGCTAAGATGTGTATGGTGCTACAGTTGATCTCATCAGTATTATTCTTATTTGAAATGAAAAGCGTACATTTCGTTTTTTCGCTGTTTGTCACAATTTATTATCGTTTAATTCTTTTCTGTTTTTATTTTTTTTACATCTTTTTTTTTTGGTATAATACATTCTGTTTTTGCATTGAATCATTGATTTTTTTTTTGTTGTTATCATTTATTTTCTGTTAGAAATGAGTCGTGGAGCTAGAGATTGAATATAAGCTTTTTTCTTCCCTATTCAACATTTCAGATTAATCTGATATTGTGGAGAAATTATTCAATAAATTTTGTTGAGAAATGTCATTATACTACTGACAAGTTTTTTTTTTTGGATCCTGGATTAGGTCCTCCTCGAAATTCAAACTGTAAATAATTTTCTCAATTCTCAGTTCTTCTGTACTCTGGCCGCATTTTGTTGAATCCCATTTTTCAATGTATTCAACAAGTTATGGCACAGAATATTCTATGTCTGTTCAAATAGTAATCTTGAAACAAGTTGCCTGTTAGAATAAATAGTAACCATAACGTCACAGGATTACTGCTATAACAAAATCGGTAATTATGCTGTTATGGTGTAATTCTGTATAGCATAGCAAGCAGCTATTTTTGGAGAAGGCATCACCGCGGAAATGAGTTCTGGGGCTGTCTGCGATGATGTAAATATAGCTTAAATTATGTTCATCGATTTGGGTATAAAAGATCCTCATGGTATTGCGTAAAAAGGCAAAGATTAAAAATCAATAGTTCCATTGTCAAGAATTACATGCCTCTTGAAAACTATAAAAAATATTGTTCATGAAGCTGAGAAGACTTAATATTAGCAATTTCAGATCTTCGCACGATGCCTTTTGATCCATCGTTTTTGGATTGAGTTGAAATCACAAGCAGGTAAGAATGCATAACAGCTAACATCCATCGTAGAGACAAGGCAGAATTGAGTAGCTCGAGCAAGGTAGCTATAGAAACCGGTGCCACAGATGACGTTACATGGTACTTCCATTTCTGCTTCACAAACGTTGTAGATAGCCTGCTTCGATGTTTCTGCGTCACGTTGAACGATGTTCTTTAAAGTAATATTCACTGTATCAGAAATATAAATATGTCTATACCCTCTCTTCCAATTCGTAACCTCCAAGTATTCATCTTCAAGTAACCTTCTTTCCTCACGGTTATAAGTTTACCTCAAGTTACTTTCGCTTTTGTCAGAATGTTAAAGTGTTAAAATATTGGCTGGGGCATGTATAATTTATTCATATTAATCGATCTAAGGACATGACGCCTCTTTAAGTATTAAATATCATTTGATTTATCTGGCAAGACTTACGGTACAATATGTAGATAGATTACCTGTAAAATGATTTGTTTCAAACGAGGACTGTTGCATCGTTCATCTTCAATGGATCCAAGTGGGTTTGGATTATCAATTTCACAAGGATCATCAATGCAATCAGACTATATAAGTTTTAAGGTTAGTTATCGTGTTTATATTATTTCTTTTATAAGGTAAATGAATAGATCTCCCCTAAAGGAATAATGAAATCGAGTGTTTCAATCCTTTCAAATGTTTTGATGTGGTTTATATGATGATGAGATTTCATGCGCACTTTTTTCGTTTGATGTGTGCTTAAGATTTCATGTGAAGTGTATATATTATTCTACGTATGATAGAAAACATTACCTGGAATGTGAAAAATGATTTTGTAAAGCAACACTCACGTTGACTTCGGGCCTGTATGTCGCTGCATCGACGTTGTAATCATTGGACATTAGCTGTAACATCGGTTGTTGTTCAAAGCCTGCAATTCCTCCATATCTATCACCGTACTTCTGATAATTTCCTTTGCCCGGAACGTTATTTTGATATATATTTTTCTCCTGATAATCTAAAGAAGGCTGCTGTGATGGAGGATACACTTTCACGGTGTGTACCGATGCTTCTGTACTTTTTGGATTCGGAGGTGGCGGAAGACGTTCAGCTGCTTCGGCTTCGCTAGGTACCATTTGGTGCGCGGAATTCAAATTTGTTACAAGCTGTTGATAGTCGGGTGGATTCTGTGCAACTCCCGATGACTGCATTTTCCTGAAATACATATGCTTTTGGTAATCTCAAAACGAATACTAGAAACCCTCATGTCACTGTGACAACGGAATGTTTTGAAATTCTGGCAACATGAAAGTAGTAACTTACCTGACTCGGGTATCATATTCAAATGGGCTACTGATGGTTGATTCATTTGCCCTCAAAAACTGATTACTCATGCTGTTTATGTCGGTGATTTCGCTTGATATTGCACGTCTTCGATTCTGAAAAGGGTAGTTGGTGTCTCATATTATCATAGTGGTAATCATAATAAAAGTGATGATAGTGATAACATGTGATAATTCCATTTTGTCGCACGAAAGTGAATTTGCACATACCTCATTCTAATAGTATCAGTACTGCAAGTTAAAAAGTGAGTAGTTGCACTTACGTATTGTGGCATCACTTTGCCGTAGTCAGTGATAAACGTTTCCCAGTCGTTAAATGTGACATCAGTCTAAAATATACTTATCAGTAACTGTTATCTCCGATGGTATTTGAAATCCGACCGGACAATTTAAATGTGATGATGCTTCTAATTGCATCATTATAGATGAAATGATTAATTCTGCTCCTACTTGAATTTTAATTAACTCCTTTTCATCATTTCTGTTTGTATTTAAACATTGCGCTTAGATTGGATTCACGAGCGCAGTGCGAACTAATAAGTCGGTAAATTATAGAGTAATCCTAAATTGCTTTCACGATGAATGAAGCCAAAATCAGTCTTATTGCGCTACTAACAGTAATACAACGAACTGGATCGATCAAACTTCCTTTGTTTTTCTTTCGTCGATCGTTTAACATTGATGTCTTGTGGATATCACCAACAATTCTGTTTATATTCATAGTGCTGTTGTCCTCATTATACTTTTGTCTTCCATGACGTAAATTCTGAATCTTCCGGAATGCCTGTAATTCTACCTTTTACACATGGACAAACCAGAAATCAAATTCATATTTCATATATATTTTTCCAAATATTACTAATTGTCGTTTATTGCTAATATTACTAAATGAATTAATTGCGAATATGCGGCATCTCTCATGCAAAGTTCATTGTAGTTAGTTTCCAACAAGATATTAATTAGAATGCAAAAGATTCGTTAACTGGCTAGCTGACAAACTAATAGCACGTCATGATCAACGAATTCGCAATCCATTACTCACATATTATTGAAACAATCGTTCAAGAACTTCTCTTGGCTTATTCGTGTTTGTTTCTTTAGCTAATAAAGACACGGTATAAACAAGTAAGTTAAACAGTAGATCAATGAATAAAGGAATTTTAATCGTTTTAAATTGAAACAACTGATAACGATCTAACTTCTATCCATACCTTATAGAAACGTAATCGTCTTTCGCGTATTTGCTTCCACTCATCCAAAATTTCTGCACTTTTTTGTGAGATTTTTGCATTCATCTCTGTTCGATTGCTCGTTTTAGAGATTATCAAAGTTGTTTGATTATTTGGCTGAATCTCTGATACGTGATACTGATCTCCAAGTATTAGTTCTCTCTGATGCTTTTCATCAGTTATTTGTGAATAATCTTGGTATATGTTGTTTGGCCTAAGCATTACCAGTTTCTCAGAATTTTCTCCCGGAAATTTATTCAGTTCCTCCAGTAAGGACTGTCTGATACCAGATTGCACTTCATATTTATCTTTAAGCAGTCCCAAGTCTTGTGATCTAGTTGGCCTTGGTAATGGTTCTAGGCTTTTAGATGGCGGAAAAATTACTACAAGAACGGTGAGCATTATTAATATAGCCATTAGTTCTTAGGCTGAAAGAGATTAAATTAGAAAATTAATGAAAGATAAACAAAGTTGATAAAAGCATGGCAGGGAAATTTTCACAGTTATGATCATATCACAAGAATTTTAAAAAATCAATCTTCAAAAAGTGAAAAATATCAGACATATTTCAAGAAAATATCCTTGCACAAAGGTTAGCACACGAAAAAGAACTTGAGCAATGAGTTCCTGAAATAACTGGTGGACTGGTCACTCTATCCATTTTATTGCCGCTATTCCAATGGTCTACACTGTGATACAAAGACTCATTTATAAAACTACGAAGGTGAATACGGTATTTCAAAAAAAAGTTGAATTCAGAAAATCCAACATATATTTTAATTCTTTTCTCTGTTCCCCATCATAACACATAGAGCAAGTAGTATTGTTTGAAATAAGAAATTAAAATTGATAAAAAATCGAAATTTGGGTTGACCTATCTTTAATTAACTATGGTGCAGAAAAGAAATTGTGTTGTTCATCATCTATTCGGAAGTATCGAATATTTTTTCCAATAACCAGAATATCGTACAAAAAAAAAAAATCTGCCAAGAAGGAATGGAAAAATTACAGGAATATCAATGAAGAGGAAAGTTATTAATAGCAAAATGTGGTGAATATGTAATGGAACAGAAAATGTTTTACCATTCTTTAGGATATCCAACCAATTTATTCAGCACTGATGTAAACCCATCTTACAGTGGTAAATTTCACTCATTCTAGTTTTACATGGCCAAAGTGTAGATTGAAAATGAACAGTTCCTTGTATAGGATGCATGTGAAATCTATTCTATTCTCAATTATACATTCATATTTTGTCACTATTGTGACATGATATTGTTGACCCAACAAGAAGAATGTAATGGGACACGATTTTACTCTCAAACATCCCATGTAACAACTTTTCTTTCATATTATTATTATTTGTTCATTTTTTCTTTTTTTAATTTATGAAATTTAAAATTTTATGAATTTTTTAGTACCGTCTTTTTTATTTTTATAAAATATAAATTTATTTTCGGCTTATTTTTAATAGCTTTACTTACTTCATTTGAATTTATTTCTGGCAAATAGACCACCGTAACATATTATTGAAAAATTACTTTAGCTCCTTGGCCTAAATCTTATATTCACTCCTGACCTAAAAAAGACTTTATATAGTTGCAGTTTTTCCGCCCAAAGAAGAAATTAATTCTTAAGCATTACTCATTATTGTTTATTATTAATTGTACATTTTCATTTACTTAATTATTGTTAGTTCAAATCTTTAACCAAAATAACTTCAATAATTATCAATTTTACATTCAGAATACTTGATGCCATATGCTTGAAAAGTCCATTTTTCAGATCATTTTACAATGTGGAATGAGAAATAAGGGATGAAATTCCTCTGAATATCTCGAGATTCCTCTAATTTATCGTTCCATTGCTTCAATCACTACAACATCGATATCTTATCGATTCATCCTGACCATTGTGATCTCAAAAATCTTTCATAATTTAAATTTTGTATTGTTCATATTTTTCAAATTTTCCACATTGCAGACAGATTATTAAAATGTAACTAATTGTTATTTATAAAAGTGAGAATTTCGCGGGAGATCGCATGTTTTTTTTTCAATTATCGAAAAATTTGTCTGTGGTCCGTTACAGAAGATACCCACTATTGAAGATGGCACGAAGGCGGAATTTATGTTGTCCTTGAACTGCTTTTGTGGATGTATTTTCGCCATTAGTACCGTCTTGTTCGATTCACAATTATTTAACTTTCGTTTTATGGATTTTTTCATTCAACATCTTTGTATGCATAAAGATTTCATTTAAATAAATTAAAGTAAATTATTATTTAAATGCTTTAATTACGGTCCTATTTCCGATTTACACTGAATGCATTCCTACGCATTCTGTTCTTATCGAAATCATTTACCAATTTATGTACCACATATGTCATCATTTGATTACATTATGTTGCTTTTACCTCATGTGCTCACGGAGTTAGTCAAAAATAGTTTATCATTCAAATGCTTGACCTTTCATCTCCACCTTACCGTTGGCATGATATTTCGTCAACCAGAACATCCGAAATTAGCATTCTTCATTCCTTGATGGTATATTTTTCAAAAGTTTTTACTTTCCACAACGGATTAAAATATGAGATGAGCGGCAATGTCCTTTCGAAATCTGCAACATTCGACATCATCCGATAGCAGTAAATGCTCTTGATTCATCTCAATAATTTTACTTCCGTTAATTGCAGTCTTGCATTCCGACAAGAAGTTAATTATTATCAACAGCGCATTTTTCAGCATCTTCAGTGACTCCTAATCATCTCCTGCCGCGCATTTACCTGTACAAATGAATAAAAACTCAGTACCCTTATTGATATTCGTTTTACTTGTATTTGATCTTCTTGCATTCACTTCCATCCTACCGCTTTTTCCAGCATTAATCGATTATTATGGATTAAACAAACGAAGAGTAAGTATCGCAAGAAATGGTACACTCTCATGAAAGAATGCAGCAAAAAAAAAAAAAAAAAAAAAAAACAAAACTTTTTATAACTTCTTGAAAGCTAATAATATTAGTAAATTAATTATGAACTAATTTTATTAAAATATTCTTGTTTTCACTGCCTTTTGTTATTTGGAAATTACTACAACCTTCTGCAGGAATAGTTTCTGTAATGCTGCGATACTCTATTCCTGTTGTTGAATAATTAAGCTTTGAAATATAACAAATAATTATTGGATTATTTTGAATTCCATCTTTCAAATTCAAAATTGCCAGCAAATATGACATGTGCGCACATTCATTTTAAGCAGCAAATTATTTTGCTAATGGGATCCTTGTGAAATGATACAGCACTGTCGAAGTATGGCAAAGAATGATGGTTTCCAGTGCGCGGGTGTCTTTACTGAAGTAACCTTTTATTGACGAAACTCGGATAAAATTGGTATAGTTATAGTCGGATACTGGACCTGAAAGAATCAGGAAAAGTTTGTCAGATTGTTTTATTTCCGTTGCTTATGCATTTATTATGAATTCACAAATACTAATTACCATTTCAGGATCAACTTTATGTTGGCATTGAAATGTTTTGTCAGCTTTTCCAAAATACCATTGGTATACCATCCTCAAAAGGGTTCCATTCCGTTTTCTTTGGCGGTAAACATTTTATTTTTGCTGAGACGATTTTCTAGTTTTCCTTGACGTGTACACAGGAAAGTATATTTTGTGATTTATCGAATATAGCACCACAAATTTGTCATATATTTAATGTCGCAGATCTTTAAATTTAGAAATATCAACAAATTACAGGTATTTTGGGGTCGCTTTACTGTTTACTTCAATTTTTATCCTCACCTTTACTCGGTGCCTTATCGGATGTTTACGGACGGAAACCTATTCTACTATTTTCCGTTGCAGGAACATTGCTTTCTTATGTAGTAAGTCATCGTTTCCTAACAAATTTTAATTTCAAACTGATTATTGATTTGAAATTCGAATTTATTATGAAAGATTTTTAAGTAAGGTGGCTTTAGATTGATTCATTTGCAAAGATTTTCTCGTGTAGATTTTTAGTATCAGAAATAGAAATATTTTAAAAAGGAAGATATATCAAGATTCATTCCTGCAGATATGGGCCAGTACAACCAATTTTACTTGCTTCGTATTATCGAGGATAGTTGGCGGTTTGAGCAAAGCTAGCGTTTCAATATGCATTGCGGTTATGGCTGATGTTTATTCGCAGAAAAAAATTGGCCAAGGCATGGTGAAGTGTAATTAATTTTTACAATCAAATTAGATTTGATGATAGAATGATACTGCTGATATTAGTTGTGATAATTGGGACAATACTGATACGAACAAATCTATATTATTATCATCATATTACAACTTGCTACTATCAGAGACACAGTACTGATAAAATTTGCTCTATTGACACATTACTAGGACAAATATTGTCAGTACTGCATCTGTGGCAACGGTAGTATTGACTACCTTTTATCATCTCATTTCATGATAGAACATTTCATGATAGAATAATCAGTATCGTATTGTCAAACTTTATATTTTGAGGCTATTATTGGTGCAGCATTTTCGGTAGGTTTTCTAGTTGGTCCTATTGTTGGAGTATATTTCTCACATATTAGTGGGACGGATACTGAATTGGCTATTGATGCACCAGCTAAATTTGCTATTTTATTGTCAATCATCGAGCTCATATTTGTCGCTCTAGTCTTACCTGAAACTCTTGATATCTCGAAAAGGGTTAATTGCTTTCAAAATAATCTTTATCCATTCATCAAAATCTTTATGTTATTTTAATGAGTGCTAAAAATTTAATGAAAGTAAAATATCTGGGGAATATAAGGGAGAATATTGCTTCATAATAATGCTTCCAAGTTAGCAAATAATAGGACCATTGAAATATTTGATAAAGATGACGATGATTTTTAATTTGGGTCACTTTTTAGAAGAGATTAGTTAGCGAAGTACTCAAAAATTGTTTGTTATATATTAAGCCGAGCGCACTTTTTCGATTTGCTGCTGTTAGCGATCGTTCTGGTAAGATGATTTTGTGCTTCTTATTTAAATTATTAGACTAAACTATATTTGATGAATTTCTGTCGCGAAATTTCAAACTAAACTTTTGAATACTTCGATAATCTTTTAATTTTACTGGTGATTGATGTATTATACAAGAGTAAGCATGGGATTATTTTATTAGAAATGCTGTAGTTAATATGAATAAAAGGATGGTTGAATCAATCTCTAGGACTGACGATTCAGGAGTGGAAATGATGCGATCCTATGGACGAGCATACTTCACTTATATGTTCTTCTATTCGGGCCTTGAATTTACACTTTCATTTTTGACGCATACTCGTTTCAATTATAACAGGTTTATTATAACTTCCTTGTTCTTAGCTATGGTACTACTATATCTATTTCATTAACTTGACTCAGAGTATAAATCTTATGAAGATGTGTTAGAAAGAAGTGATGGAAGTATTTTGTTTGATTATTTACCACTGTTAAATATAACATCGATAATAAAAATTACAAATTACAAGTTTTGAGTAACGATTATTAAGTCCAATTAACAAAAAAAAAGAAACCAGAAAAATATAGGCAGCATTTTTAGAGAATCATTCTAATTAATTATCCTAATTAAGAGAGTAAGTACATGATGTATGAATATGTTTAGCTTGTTTTAATTTTACCAATCCCTTCAGTAAGGTTTACAAATACTTTTTAGCATGCAACAAGGTATAATGTACCTATATATTGGTGTACTGATGATTATAGTTCAAGGTAACTGGCAACGAATTTACATTTCAGTTTTCCGGTAATAACCTGAACCTGGCAGAGTGGTAAAAGTAATGTATCTAAATGCACTGCACGGATCAGTTCATTCATTTCTAAATTTTTCTTTTGTTAATTAACTTCTTTGATGTTGTCGATTTTTGAGATGAAAATATAGAAAGATTAAAGCTGAAATAACTGAGTTTGAATCATCACTATCTGCCATCAAAATAGAATTTTCAATCTTTGAATAATTAATCTTTGATGTTTTCTACGCAAAATAATTAAATTGTTTAGGAGGTATTCGTCGAATTCCGAACAATAAGCAACATACAGCAGCTATATGTGGCATTTCATTTACCATACCGGCATATATTATTATCGGATACAGTAGCAACGCAAAAGGATTTTACGCCGGTTTAGCACTCTATGCAGCAGGTAAGACGTTTTCTCGCTTGACATTAAACAAGTGCGCCGCTAAGACGACAATGACCATTTTTCTCTTTGATATGCTGCATATAGTGGGGCTATCGCTAAAGTTTCTCATGTCTTCTTAGGCCTTGCTTAAAATTTTCTCGTCCTTCTTTTCTCTCTTTTATCATGTCTACCTGACAATTTCCCAATTTCTCATCAGAGGATCAGTTATTATGCAAATTATATAAGTGAAGGAAGAGGCACTGTAGATTTCTTAAATAATTCATGTCAGAAGATATATTGTAATTAGAAGTCAACATATTTCAGCATCAGGCTTAGTGGTTCCATGTATGACGTCATGCATATCAAATCAAGCAACAGACGATGTCAAAGGCGTTACGATTGGAGTGTTTCGATGTTTAGGCGCTTTAGCTCGAGCTATTGGCCCACTTTTTGCGTCTACAGGTCCATCATTCTCCCTCTGATTATATATTTTTATCAAACAGAATGAGTCATTTTGAATATTCGAATTTCTCAAAGGCTATATAATTTAGTATTCTGGCTTCTCGGTCCAACAATATGTTATATCACTGGGGGATTCTTGCTCATCATACCAGTACTTATGCTGCGACATCTTTCACCGGGAATAACTGCGGTAAAAGAAGAGTAATGACGCATCACTGATTGCTATCATATGGTACTTCTCGAAATTTCATCAAATATTCGACTTCCATATTTCTTTGTGCTATTCTATTCTATGCACCATTGCTATTCTATTTGCGTGTATTGGAAGTTATGAGCTTGTAGTTCTAATTTTCAACCAACACCAGAGAAGTTTTTAGTTTGATATTTGATAAGATGGAGTCGCGTTTGGCAGCATTACGGTACAATTTGAGGAATACTGTGTATTTTCTGCTTGTTTAGATTTTACTATCTGCAAAAAGTACATTAACAATCTTTGATCCTCAAGAAAGAATACAAAATAGCGCCCTGTTATAAGCCAGAAATATTCGGTCAAAAGTTTCCTAAAGCGCATTTATCCAATTAGTGGTATTTCAAATGCCAATTATGTTTTAGGAAAAAAAAAGAGAAATATGAAATCGTAAAAATCACAATTTTGAGAGAATTTTTATTGGATAATATTGCTATTTATTTGATGAATATGACTGCAAAGATGTTATAATCATTTGAGTAACATATGACGATCGTTCAAACGCTAAATATTATATCTATTCTCCATTATTGGCATATCAAAAGTTATTGTTAAGCCAACAATTCTATGCATCTACAATAAATCTTTCAAAGAAGCACATTATTTGGGAGGATTAACCTTAACCTTTCCTCATTATTACCATAGTAAATTCCTTTACTTCATTTGTTTCATTTTTTCAATAAATAAAAAAGAACAAGCTAAAAGTGCTGTTTATCCACTAAATAAGACAGAAAATAATGACTCCCATGGCTAAGGGATTCATTTATGCTAATGATGAAATAAGCCAAGCTCAAGTCGAGAAGCACTGGGTAGTTTTAGGATATGAAGTGAAACAAATTATAAAGCAGTCTAATGATATAATAATGATTAATCTAAACAGTAATAATGGTAAAGTAAATAGACATAGTTAATCTCTCAATATAAATGTTTGAGGATTGTCAGAGGAAGGGGAGCTTTTCAAATTTGAATATGAAGTATTGATGTCTTGAAATTGTAAAGTTACTGTCAACGTCTTGTATTAGTATTCCAAGACTTCAGTTCACTATAAATGAAAAGCTTAGTAATTTGCTGGTCACTGGCTGTTTCAGCAAGCAGAATATACGCAAATTAAAAATAAAAGTTCAAAAGGTTCAAATAAATGGCGCAAATATGGAAGAATTTGTAGCAATATCTAAAATATTTTAATCCAATTCTAATATCATTTAAAAAAAAGTATTCATGGAATGCAATGACGCATATCTTTTACCATTAATAATTATCACTTTTACCACAATTGTCAATTTCATTTAATCAGTAATTGTGATTTCGATCCCAAATAAGTATATGTGATTGGCACTATCTATCGACAAGAAATTCATCTAAATAATCTAATAGCTACAATAGTTCTTCACTTCCCACTTTTCCAGCATTTTTGCAATTTATGATAAAATTGAAATAAATAGTTTTTCAAGCATATGTTTCAATAAGCTTTCCAACCCATCCCATTCAACAACTGTAAATGATGATGTCACAGATCATAAATCTAGTAATGATTTCAACTCTGACCTTTTTGGAACATTATTTTCAATTGCCTTTCAGTGCCATTTAGTAGTGTGAAATCTAATTTTACATCGATAAGAGTATTACCAATGATCCAATTTGCTTTATGACTTTTTTTTTTATTGATTTTCACCGACTCAGTGAATGTCGATCGGTTTAGTATTTACACTACATTTTGGAAATTTTAATTTTTATTTTTTCTATTAGGAAAATTATTTCAGTCAAATTAGAAATACTACAGAGGGAAACAATGACGTCAAAGAAATCCCATTTAAATATAGAAACTAGCTGATGGAAATTTGAACATTTCCGGCGGTTGAAGATCTTCCATTAATTTGAACGCTCGATCAAACGGGAATCTGGGATCAAATTTAGGTAATAAGCCAAACATCTCGTAACTGACATCATTTCTAGGCTCTTTTGAAGATCCATTTCTGATCCATCGTCCTATCATATATTTACGCCATTTTTCACGATTTGGCACAATTTTTTCAACTTTCTGTCCTTCATTTTTCAAAATCCTACGCCTGCCATACTGCGTGTAATATTTTTGGAGATGATTGCTTTCTTTTCCTTTCATTGACTGAAATCTATTTGGGTCGTATTCCATATCCGCATCCACTTCTCTTTCGGATGCAGAAATTTCTGATAACGGAATTGATGCACCTGTTACTGCCGAAAATACTTTCTGAAATCGCGAGACGTCGAAAGTTGGGAATCTTGACATTTGCTTCTGAAATTTCATTAGCACCAACACCTTCTGAATCTCATGATAACAGATCGTTAAGATGGCCATTGCAGCAACTCCAAAGTAGATTTGTTGATTCACTTCACTTATGAGAAAAGCATACTTTTTTTGTTAGAAATAAACAACATACAAATGATACTACTGGAATTTTCGATTTCTGACGAGAATTTGGATTAATTTCAATTTTGAATGGATTTTTCATCCTGAATTTCAATTACTTATTGAAGTTTAAGATCACAACTAAGGATGAAGCTGGTTTAAACTGATAATATGGTCGATATGGATACCTTAGCTTGATCAAAGATATCATCAGCAAGTTGGCGTACTGCATCATATTCTGCTTGCGCATGCTTTCGAGCCTTTACACTTTCTTTCCACGCATTTTTGACATGCACTTTATTGGGGTTTTGTGAAAAATTCGTTGTGTACTCACTGCCGGGATTTCTCGATTGGCGCTAAAATAATAGAAAGTAGATTTCTTAGCAAATTAAACTTCTCGGATGTCATGCTGTGTAAAGCTATGAATTTCAATATTTTTACTGTAATATCTGGTGTTGAATTGACAAAATGCATGTAAGTGCACATTTTTGGATTCAAATCAAAATAAGCCAAGAAGGGGAATGCTTCTTGTCTAAAGTTGCATAAAAAATTAAAGTTTATATTTATATTTCATAAAAAAAATAAATAAAGGATAAATAAATCCCTGTATTTTCCCAGCATTTGATTGCAAATGTTTCTTCGGTTCATGACCTTTTACATTGTCTATATTTTCCACTGTTCCTGTTGTATCGATATCATCACCGATAGTGTCTGAAAATATTTTAAAACATAAAATTTTCAAATAATACGTAGTCAAAAACATTACGTGAACATTACTTTCGATATAAATTCGCTCTGTTGTTATAGCAATAGTATTGGACTATAACCCAAAATGTTGCACTGAAACTTGACACCTTATACAGTATTAGAAACTTGATTCTTGATAGCCAGACAAATATTGATGACAAGTACCATATGAAAGCAGAATTTTAGGTTTCCGATCAGGTGCAGAAGGCGTTTCGTAAATATATTCGAAATGTCGACCGAAATGTTTGTATGGATGTTCCGGATAATTTGCTTCTTGTCGTATATCTGCGAAGGAAATTTGTGAAATTTGGAGAGAAATAGCATTTTGATATGACTCAAGTTATTTGTTGTAAATACATAAAATCTGCAACTGACCGATTTCATTCAATAATGCAGGTAGGATGAAAAACCCCAAATAATAAATAAGGTAGAAAAGAAAGCAACGAAACATCGTTCTTCTCGGACTTGGATCAGTTCTGGCTCGGTATGCACTGAGGCAAACTTGTCTAAACTTTTGATAACAGATATATAGCACCAAGGGAAATTTTGAAGTAACATTTCGAAGTTTTCAAATGATATTCTATACTCACAGTGAGTTTTGTCTGGTTTCAAATCCTTTGATAAAATTTATTCTCTAGAATTATCGTAAAAAAAAAAAAAAAAAAAAAAAGAACTAACTAAAGGTTAACACTTTTATTTGCGATTAATGATTCATTCGAAGATAATGACTGGATCTTATCGTTTCCTACAGGAAATCTGAAATAATCTAACGATTCTTTATTAATCAAAACAGAAAAAAGCGTAGAATATGATCTCATAAAAATTTCCATCACATATATGATGATATCTGACGAATCTCACGAGGGATGACTATCAAGATGACGATTATAATAGCCATTTAGTAAATTGGCATTACACCTTTTGGACAAAGTATATTCTAATGCTACTAATTATTGTTCGGTATTTCAATAATTTACTATTACGAATTGTATTTTGCTAAAGGTACGGTAAACAAATGAGTAATGGAAGAATATTAGATGACAGCGTATTATCATTAAAAAATTGTAATTTCGTTTCGAAAGTTTTCCATCAGTATGAAATATGAATTAGTTAACATAGCTAGCTTAAATTAAATTTTAATGAATAATTTATTATCAAGACCGAATGCGCTACTCTTAACAGTGCAAAGGATGAAATGAAACTTGAAAATCATGGGATTTGATTACTGCTCATTAGACCATAATGAGCATTCATGCTGAAATGAAAAGGACAATCTATTTTCAACAAACTTCAAATCATGTTAAATAGAGCGCAAAATGAATTTAGTGTTGATTAATTCTGAAAACCCCTTCATCCAAATTTCATAAAATTTTCAAAGAGGAGACAAGTGAAAACAAATTATGCAGTTAACATAAACAATAATAATAAAGTCATTTCACGAAGTGCTGATTTTTGACGATCCATAAACCAGAGAAAGAAAAAAGAGTGGAAATTGTGAACGAATTTCAGTAAGAAATTTGAAAATCATTGCTTTAAGCATCTTTGAGATTCAAGAATTTATTTTATTTTAAGAGATGGCTTCATGGTGAAATGCTTTATTAGAAGGTTATTTTGGAAAGAAGCGGTATTGCGTAAGGAGTGACGCTTTTGACGTTCAAATGTGTTGTTTTGAGAATTTATTGCCGTATCCTTTTTCAGCAACTATGATCACTGCTTGGAAAGGAAGCACAGTGAATTAATTTTTCTCCTCCTGAGGTGTACCACCAGTCCACTTCGAAAAATTCCCATCTGACAAAAAGAAAATATTGAACTGTGTATTTTTTGTCAGTACCACTAGCGACTTGTGCTGAAATTACAAATGGCGTCAACTGAAATACAAAAAAAAGGAAAAAAAATTAAGAGAATTAAAAGCATGGAAATTTAAGTTTGTAATCGAGTAAGAACTTTAAAACAAATGAATTATAGTCTGTGCAGGCTCTTACTTCTCCTTCTGATACCCGGGATTATGAAATTCATTCAACTTGAGTAAATTAGTTTTCATCTCGCTCACTACTTCTGTCAACTACATCTTATCCCAATGATTGGATTGCCTGTCACATCTTCAAAAGGCTGCTACTTTTTCAACTTTATCATTGGTATACTTCTAAGATAGTAATGATACTTCCAAATTAAAATGTCATCAATGATAAAATTTACGATAAATTATAATAGTTTGGTGATTTTCTTGTTTAGTTCACATCTATCCACTGCATATGTAAAAAAAAAAATTCAGATGCTGGAAGTACCTTCTAATAAAGCAGTGAACATTGTCAACCAAATATACCAAATTAAAAAATGCAATTTATTCTCCATTGGATTCCGAATACTTTTCTGCAGAAGACAGTATTCACGAGAAATCATCCCAGATATCATGATTATTTTACGAATATTATAACAATTTATGACAATATATGATTGCCATCATTACGACGATCATCAGCTTTTAACGATTGCTGGACGAATTTCACGCACTAATTTTTATGTCACACAATTCTCTCCACAATATCCAATTCTCTCCTTTGATTACATCCGCTTTATTCTTTCAAACATTTTTTCATTTTCTTCATCCTAATCTAAATTATGGGAAGCCAAAAACCTCGACATACTGATGTGTATTTTCATCACGTGAACAATTCTCTGATTCATTACTTGATAAAATAAAATCATAAATGCCCTCCTAAATTTGACACAACTCCTTGAACAAAATTACAACGGCATTTGTTGAAACATTGGAAAGCCTTCACGAATTCATTGGATCCTCTATGGATACCTGTAAAACCCTTCCTTGGTTATGATTATCTTATTCAATCTGTGTAGCTCAAAATACTTTTAAGATTTAAGTAAATCAGCTTTAAAATGAAACTCTATTTCAGAACGAAAACACCATTTAGTACTGGTAACATATGAGCAGCGATTATTTGTTATGCAAAATCACACAGTCAAGCGACATAAGCTATCACGCGCGGAACTTCCGATAATGAATTCCACAACCTAGTCCGATTCACTTGCCAACTAGTAGATTAACGGTTACGAACAAGTACATGCTTTGCAGGATAAACGAGTACACGTTTATTTACAATTTTTTTTTGAATACAAAATGACTTGAAGCCAATTCTTGGATTAGTTAAAATGGAAATGAAATTTCGAGAAAATCTGGACAGAAATAACAGTCGTACAATTTAAATTTAAAATAAAAAATAATGTGAAATAAGCCCAGAAGTAAGAATAGTATTGTCAAAGGCCTCTCAAATTAACGAAAGTAACAGTCCTCGGAACAAGAGAGAGAGAAAGAGAAAGTCATCAGCTCGCTCACAATTCTAGAAAGACTTAAAAAAGAGATGATGGGAAGAGAAAAAAAGCTGAGAGCTAGTGTTTTTCAATTGTGGAGAAAATTTTATATAGAAACATCGCGGAATGTACAATAAAGAACCTTCTTGTCTACAATTCATGTAAAATATTCCTATTTGGTAAATGAAGTGTGAATACATTTTGTGTGTAAATCACTTATGTTGTCCATGGTATTCATTAAAAAAGAAAAAAAAAACAATCCTCAAAGGATCTGATCAAAAAACTGTACAAACAGAGACATAGTATGAAATTAGGAAACATTAACATATAAGTGAGGGAAGATTTTCCTTATACCTTTACAAATTAATTACTGTGTTACTCTTACAGCACACATTTACCTATTTGAACCGTTTTGGATAGAAAAGAGGCGGTGGTATGATAGTGACTTCGCAACAACGATACGTCAAGATAAGGCAGTCATGCAGAGATGAACTGAATTAAATGTTATGACTGATAAATCCATGGAAAGATAGTACACAAAGTTTGGATTCTTCTAAGGAATGTTTCACTTTCGAATTTGAAAAACAAGATCGCGTAATAAGGAAGCAGATTCTTACAGTGTGAAAATACAAGAACACTTTGTATAGATTATATAAAAGGTTACTAAGATAAGAATAAAATTTATGAAATATCACTGATTCAATCGAATATCACAAGGCATAAAAAATAAATGGTAAATGATATCGGAAGAGATCAAATTTTGACAAAATTGTTGAATAAATAATAACATCAAATTTGTCATACTTTAATAATAAATTAATGATGAACCCTGGTCCAATTACCATAACTCCCTTATCAACATCAAGATGATATGAAATCCTGGAACACTTGCTCCAGTCGGCCTCAATGGAAATCTATTGTCATAAATATGACTCAAGTACTTGCATACCTGAAAATTAATGAAGAGTACACAACCTCTACAATTTTTTCCTCAAGGTTCTAGAATAAATTGATCTAATTACTTCCAAAAAAAAATAGAACCACTAATCCTTATAATATTATTTCAAAAAATTATAATATTAAGGAAAATACAGCCTCAATAATTTCTAAATATGACTATGGGTTACAACAATTAAGGTTCGACACTCTTTCTAGGGAAAAGCAAGCAATATAATCGTAGAACTAATAATCTAGCTATCGAATCCAATGACCAGCTCTATCATAATAGTTATCAAAGCCATTTTTACTTTTCCCTTCAATCTTTCATTTCGAACTTCTTTATGGAAAAGTATCAATCATTATGAGCTCATGAACATAATTTATAATGAATACGTGCAGTTCGAATGGTAAAGTAAACATGCGAAGTCACAGTATACCGTTTTCATGTTTCATGATCTGCTTTGTTTCCTTTGTTTCAAAAACGTCTCGTAGTGGTTGTTGCGTTTCTTGTTTAGATGATACGGTAGGATGAAAAATGTTAAAATGACTTGGAAGGTTGTCATGCGATGACAATATGTCCGGTTCCCGCTGCAAAAATTATTTATGAACCAAACTGCTTCAGAATTGTCGGCAGCCGTAAAACTTTTATGACCGTATCTAACAGTAATTTAAAAAACGATGGAAAGATTTAATTAATATAAAACTGGAATAAATATAAAGAATATTAATGATATAAACTCAAAAACCTTCACTGCTTTAGCAAAAAGCTTCCGAAACCATCTGCATACATAGTTCACATACGTTAGTTCACGCAAAATTCGAGGGTGGAAAATCAGGGGCACTCAGTTAATGATCAGTTCAGATTGAAGCGATTAACAAAGACAAGCGTCAAAGACAGTGAATGTAACTAACTTTTGCGAAACTATTCGGATGAGGAAATTGCGACTGATGCAACTTCTGTTCATCCTTAAACAGAATAGATTGCTGCAACTGTTTATTTTCAACTTTTTCATCTATCACATTTTGTTTACGCTTCTTTGCCATTGCTGCCAATTTTTCACTCGTATCAAAATACCACACTGTTATAGCATAGCTAAAATCAAAATCCAACTGCAATAATGATGATAAGAGGTAGCTGACACTAAAGACTGTAGTCAATTAAGGTTAACAATTCTGGAACAGTTGTAAACGGTTTTTTAAGCAACATCGGGATCGTCATACTGAAAATTTAACTACAACTAAATTAATGAATCCTAACCATTATTCCCAATACTCAAGACAGTGAATGAAGAAATTTTCTAAAAAGATTTCTAAAGAATTTCTGAATAAACTTGAAAAATTACCGATCCCGATATACTGGTCGAACTTCATGTGGATTTCGACGATCTGACCATAAAAGTAACAGCCGGTCAGCTCGTGGCTCGATATCCAGTGGAACACCTGATGTTTCAGGAAAAAGCCTGAAGCAACCACCATCCTGAAAAGTATACAGTAACAAAGCATCAAAAGAAAGATCATATAAGAAGTAAAGAAACTGATACTGTAAAATCTGATAATAGAATTGAAGTCATTTTCGAGATTGCAAATTAATCAAATAAATAAAACAGTTACCTTTTCAACATTCCAGTTCTGATTGCAGTAATAAATAGCTGTAATACAACGACCATCTTTCATCGGGTTATCAATGTGTTTCACATAATGTGTTCCATTTGATGGATATATTGCCAGCATTGCCTAAACAACGTGTATTTCAGTAAAACATTAGCAATTTGTAACAGAAGGGCAAACCTCAGAATGCGATTCAAAATGCTATTCAAAAAAATCGTAGACACGAGTGATGTATTTCAAAAGAAAACTTGGAAGATATGAAAATGAGAATGAGCTAATACTAGGAAAAAATAATTCCCTTATAAATGATTCTAATGAAGATGAACTGTGATATCAAATGCATTTCTCTTCCTTTTTATACAACATATAGTTAATATTCATATCTGCATCATGAAAGATCAGATATGACTGTTTTCATGGCCATTCCTCGCCTACACTTTCACAACTGTTGAGTTTTTCGGTAATAAAAATTAAGATAAGGAAATAGGATGAAGCGATAGTAAGAGAAGAAAAAGATTTCGGAAGTGATCTCCATACATGACTGGTGTTTTTGTTAATTCAGATCCAAGATATTCTTCAGAACAACTGTTGAATCAAGTAAACAGTAAAAATTTGGGAAAAAAGAAACATTTTCTTACCCATATCATCACCATTTACAGCAATCTGCACGTTGTAAAATTAGTGTGAGGAAACAGTAGAAATACTCTTCGAAATCACGTAAATTATCAAACAAAAGGTTATCAGCAATTACCCGTGAGCGTCCATTAATTTCATAGGGTACACGGCCATTAAAATGAACAATGATGGAATCAATCATTGAGACAAGCAAACGAACTGTCACTGCCACACTTACTCGTTCATCATTGCTGTCAAACCAATAAACCTGAAATTGATGCTATCGTCGTCAGGAAAAATTACATGCAACCAAAGGAATTAAAGAAAGGTCTTTTATGTGTGCCGACAAATTTCTTACAGGATGGTAACTACTAAGTTAATGAAAACAATCATTATAGGTGGCTAACTGAAATTTCGATTGTTAGAATTTAGAAATGTGTAATAAATACCATTTATGTACGTGTAAATTGTAATCGTGAAATAAAATGGGTTAGTAAGACCATGAAGAAGTCAACCTAATTTGCCTATGATTCAGATGTGAAATTCAAATGTAATATAAAATGTAGATAGAATGATTACGATGTGCAATATGTTGCAATGATGGATAAGGAAGCGAGCATAATAAAGTTTTTTATCATAATAAACTTCTTATGAATAAACTTCTTATTCAATAACAGTAAGCGACGAATTTTATGAAAGATAGGAAAAGATAGGAAAAGCATGAATCAGAGATTATATTGCTTAAACAAACGAGATAAAGCATCAAGCATCTGGGTAAGAGTTTAAAGATCACAACAGTTACTCTTTCCGCAACAGTAAACAAAAATTCAACTGACCTTATCCGACCGTATATTTTGTGAATTTGAATTCAATCTTGTTTCCATCAGTTGTCCTGGTTTGAAGACACCACTATTGTACAAATAATTCATTTCCCTAAAATTTGAGTTAGAAATTTTCGATAAGTGTAAGTATGGGACAAAATAGAACATCTGATTGCATGATCAATTCATTTCTCCAAAAACATGAAGAAACGGTTAAAAAGTTAGTACTAAAGAAAAATTAAAATTGTACCCATGAATGCGACAACAGTGATTTTGCCCAAGAAAATTATCCACGATAGCCCAGCCATAATCATTTAAGCACTTAACAGCATGATCCGCAATGCACTATAAATCAAAATTAGATAAAACATTTTCCATCATTTAATTTTTCCTCGATTTTAAAAAACTTATTCTACCTCCAAGCACATTAAATGCTCAAAAAACTAAATTCAAAATTGAAATTAACAATTCAGTTAAATTCTTATTATTAACAACAGTTCGTTCCATACCTTAAGGTGCAAAGCAACTGCTTGTTGTTGGTGGATTGCCAATCCATTAGCAGCAAGTACTTTCAAATGATCGTGCAGGCTAATCTAAAATGGCAATAACCGTTCTCGAAAATTACTGGATTTTTAAATTTGAAAATGATGGCCGAAGTTTGCAACTTTAGAAAGATTTAAAGTGATAGTTAAGGGAATTAGCTGCTAAAATATGAAATTTTTTTCTTTTGGAAAAAAACATAAATTACGATGATGTATTCCTGTTGTCATGGTAATTTTTTTTTTTTGGCAAAATGATTAAAGGAATTAATCAGAAAATTACCGTGAAAACAGAATTAGCAAAATGATCAATCAGTTGAGAATGCCTGCAGTTCATCTGCAGTAATCTTTTCCTCGATACTTTCTCCGGTGTACTAACGGTTTTTTCAAGAATTTGACTGTCTGGATGGCATGTATTAATAAGATGTTCACACAGCTTATCGCCTAAAGCATGATCAAAATTTTGCATACATAATATGGATTATAAAAACAGCAGTATCTTGTGAAATTCATCATCACTTATGATTCGATTTAGGAAAATGTGTTTTAAAAAGTAAATAATCAAATTTGAACGGAATCTAATTTTTTTATGAAAAAAATCATTCTTACTAAGGCTCAGATTCAAGTTTAAATTTTGGTAGTTGAGAGAGAAAACAATTACAGGAGCAAGATTTCAAGTATTTAAATGCGGCACTTATTGGCAAGGATTCGTTAGATGGACTTGGCAATAGATGAATAGCACCAGGCCTAGTTTTGAGAGCTAAAACTTCCAATTTAGAATATGAAATCTGTTTTTTATTTACCAAATAATACGCACACTTGAATAAAGGATGGCTCCAAGAGGCATTTTTCTATTGGCAATGTGGATATTTAACAATGCAGAGACCACCTACAACATTTCCTGTCATACTAGTAATATCCAAACGTACCATAATTTCAAATACTAATCCATATCATAAGTAAATACTAGCGTACCTAACCATTTTGCAGCTGTCACTACTGTATAACCATCAGAATCTGTGAGTTTATCAACACTTCTCTGTCCAATAGTAGCAGAAAGTGTAGTAGCACCAGTCCTTGTTAGTTGAGATTGCACAGTTTTGCAAAGCGGTTTATGCCGTTTCCAATCAAAATTCTGCAAAAAGAAAAAAAAGAAAAAATAGCCATAATTGAATGGGATTTATAATAACTGTATGTACAAAACATATTTACTTTGTGGCTAAATCCCTCAGATTATATCTTCTTTCATCTTACCGTTTAGTATAAAAAGAGAACAAAAAATACTTCAGGAGATTTTACATAAACCCATAAAGATAGTACTATGGTCAAGAAATATGAATCATTGAAGACATTATGAACTGATTTTAGTTCCAGTAGAACAAAATTAATATGCACACTTTAGACAGTATCAATTTAATTATAAGGTACTAATTCGTCGAGTAAATATTATAACTTATCCACCGAAAGATTCCAACGCTTATTTTCTGACTACCAATACGTGTCCATCTTGCCACATATGAATCGAGTAGCAGTTCAGTATTCAAATGAATTATCGCGCCGAGTATACGCATCCCAAAGTGAAGTGAAAAATGAAATTTGTCTGCTCGAGGAAGTCAAAACTTTCAAGTATGGAAACCCAGGATATTCCAGAAATGTGGGAAAGAAATCCTTAAATGTAATTTTTCTACGTTCTTTCAATCCAGAAAGAGAATAGGGGAAATCGGGAAAACAAGTATCAATCCAGCACTTTCACGTGGTCAGAATTATTTCTCATTAGATCGTATGCATTTTTGAGTTTGATTAAGGAAAAACGGTAAAGCAATCTTCATTTAAAAACACACTGATTTAAAGTTTTTAAATGAGAAATCTTCCCTCAAAAGTTTGCACGAAAATTACTGTTACAGATATATACTTGTAGTGTCGCTATAAAGTAAAAGGAATCTGCCAGTAATCAATAAAATCGAAAATTACTGATTCACAAAATTGTTATGGAATTGCTATAATAATCATCTCTAAGAAGATATACGAGCTTAAAAATCTGAAAAAGTTTATTTATGGGCATTTGAAGTATTTGAATAATTTCAAATGTTTTAGATTCTTCCTTTCTCCCCTTCTGACTATTTTTGTGAGAATGTCAAAAATTTCTGTGTATTGATGGAATGTAAATTTAAAAAAAAAAAAGAAAAAAAGAAGCACACTATCTTATCATCTCCACAATCTTTTCCATTCGAGAATTTTTTTTAACAAAGATTTTTCATTGAAAAAATGCTACATTTTTTTTAAAGCCGATGTTAAACAGAAATATTTCATTTTTCAGCATCATTCTTTTTTAGTTCTCGCACGTTTGATTTTTGCAATTTTATTGGATATACACAAAACTAATTAAAGGAAAGGAAGGAAAGTAAACTAACTGGACGTAAAGAAACGATTCCCGCAGCCATTATCTGATGAAATCATGCTAATACTGAATCTATATTAATGAATTGAAAAATTACTACTGCTTATCAATCAAAATGATTTACAGCAATTTTCGAAAAAGAAATAGAAAGGGTTTGACTTTCGTCCATTCTATGAGACATTTTCCGTTTCTTATTTCACAGAACCTTCAAATTTTGTAAATTCCTCGTTGAAAGCAGATATGCAATCTGAACTTAAGTATAGCGAAGTCATTATCAGAGAAAGCATTGTTCTAAACAGAGGCAGACTCTATAATCCCACTGCTGATACCAAACGGAATAATATCGGTATCTAGTTGAAATGAAGATGAACAAGTAGAAGTTGGTACTTTGGACTTATTCTTGATCATCAATATCACTCTGTTACTTGTGAGTCATCGAAGAGAACAGACACCACACCATGTGTTAAGCATTTGAGCGCTTTTATATCTTTAGCAGTTAATACAAACTGATATTAGCTCATAAAAAGCCTTGAAATCTTTCCTTATCACCTAGTTTCTTATTTAAATCTTCTTGGATGTAACTATTCCGGAAGTAAATTAGAAATAATTGTAAAGATAAAGTTACTCGATGTTCTTCGCCACAATATGCCACCATACTGCATTGCTTACATTGTGATAATGCATTACCATCAATCGACTTGGGAGCTCCACAAACTGCACATTCTCTGGAAAATTTCATGAAACCTCTGAAAGATTTCATAAAATCTGATATGGGAGGCACTCAAAGTATTGTTAGAATTTTTGAAAATCTGGAAGATGACTACGCTAAAATTGATCCCCGAAAGAGTCCGATCTAATTTAAATCAATTCTGATCAGTTCGGCTCGATAATTACTAGTTGGTACTAACGGAATCAATTTAACTCGATATCTGATCAGATCGATTTTAATCCAAACAGCATAGATCAGTTAATGTTATTGAGAGAATTCATTACAATTCAATTCCAAAATTTGAAAATGCTAGAAAAAAGAAGGAAAACTATAGCAACTGCCTCCCAATAAATGACTTCATCACAAATTATTACCATCCGAGAATACACTAACTTATAAGCTTAAACGTTGAATGCGCATCATCTCCTAATCTGCCGAAATGTGCTCTCTATCACTGCCATAACAACTAATCATGGCTATTTGGACCTTTTCCTTATCCATCGCCACACTGTTTCTCATCATTATTTTCGATCCCTGATCAAACATCTCTCTAATTTCTACAAACTCCGTTTTCCAATACACAAAACTACTCTCTGACCTTCCTTTCATCTTTTTCTCACCATTTGTTTGCAGCGTTGCATTTCCGCTGCGCGCTACAGGTCGTGAAATCAATCCGTTCAGGTTGTTAAGAATCAATTAACAGTTTTGACTTGATCAGTACTTGGGTATGTTGTATATTATATTACACGTAATGAATATTACAAAAATTTACTGCTTTTTATTTGCTGCACCCATTCTTCGTTCGAAAACCTATTGACCTGTCAGGATTCGCTCGTTTCTTATATCTGAAATTATCACTTTATTTTGTTACTGCTACCAATCTCTACTGAGTAACGTTACGGTATCATGCAGACCATGGTAACTGTTGTTCACTTAAACTTTCCTTCGATAACGAAGTTGCGTCATATTTCATAAAGTAATACGCAACACGTTGCGCTTCGTAAAACTAAACTTAGGTATATACCAGTGGCGTACTGCAGTTAACCAACGTTAAGTTTGCATTTGCAAGAAAAATAAAATAAAAAATATTGAATTTTTAAAGTGAATGTCAGCAGTTATTTTAATAAAATACTGCCAATAGCAATTACAATGTTCAATTTCCTTTGGTCATTGATTTAGGCCATTGATACTTCCATTTGAACTTCTTTTTTACCTTTTTACTTGGCATTGGATGTCTGTATATTTTGGCTAAATATTGCTCTAAAGATATCTTCCAGCTGCACCATTTTCGGACTGACATATACTTCCCTCACTCATCCAAGCTTTCGTCCACTTTGTGGTTACTCTTCGTTGTTTCGAATTACAAGCATCCATCTCTTCACTGGTTTCTTCATTCTTTTTCTTGCTCATTGAAGAAAAATTGGACAAGTACCACTTTCAATGCCATTCGATAGACTTCGATTGCAAGCATTTATGATAAAAGAGTCAAAATCATCAAATTAATGATTAAATCTTTTTAATAAGTCTAAAAAATTCTAGATAAAATTCCCGTAAAATCAGAAATTATTTGTGTGAATTAATAATGATAACAAAAAAATTCCATCACCCATTGATATATTTAACGAGAAGATGCGTTAGTATTAACCAATTTCCGAAATGCTACTTCTTCACTATACAAATTTTCCATTTTTGAAATTTATGAGCGATGTGATTTCTCGTTGTTTTTTCAATTTTGGATGTTGAAATGTTTTCATTTTGTAACCATTCAGTGAATGGTTACATGCAAAGAAATTCGATGAGAAAGTAAAATATAAAGGTTCATAAACGACTGTTTTGTAATATACTAATTTGTATTTACCAATTTGGATGATGACTAAGATTTGAAAGTAATCCAAATTCTTTTCTGTGTATGTAGGATGCTATCACTATGCATAGAATCATATTGGTGCTTATTGTTTGCAATGTGCGCTATCAAAGGCACCAATCCATGCAATCGTTGACACAGCAGGATGACATTCTTCTTCACTTTTTGGTTTGTGATTGCAATCTTTGGATTTTATCTTGTGAGAAGCTCACCTTTGCACATTAATTTCGTAATATTAGTATTGTTTCTTTTATCTAATTAGTTTAATTACCCAAATTCGAGGTGGAAATAAGGAGAAATTTGCAACTTTGTGTTGCGTTGCGCAAGATACTTCCAAAAATACAGAGATTTTCCACTTTATGAGGTCCATTTGTGATTATTATTAATCAAGAATTACTCTTCTCTTGCGTCTTTTTTTTTCTTTTGCTAGTTGAGAAATATTTTCCCCTTCTGGAAAAAGTTGTCAATCATCATATCCGTCTCAACAATTTGGTTAGTGGTCAGTAAGTTGCCAGAAAGCATTTCAGCAATAGAACGAAATGTAAAATATGCTACTTTTCCGAAATGCTCAGACTCTGAAATGAACTTGGAGAAAAGTTTAAAAAGAAAAAAGAAAAAATTTGTTTGATGAAATAGCGCAAGTGACGGGATATGGAACCTTTTAACATGTTATGAGTACGTCATTTTAGATCAAAGAATTGATTGGCTTTTGCATAAGCCATCAATTGATTTGGTCTTTGACCAATTTCAGTTTTAATTCATCAAAGCTCGATTATGTAAAATGTCACTTCTTGTTGCATCCAACGACACATTTCACAAAAAATTATTTCATTTGACGAAGGAAATGAAATGGAAAAGACCTCGAAAACTTCCATTAAATCTTCAAAATTTTCACGCTGACAATTTTAAGATTTTGCACGCAAATGTTTTGTTTGACAAAATTTTTTCTGATTGGGAAAAGAAATGAGCAAAATGAATTTTGCGGCAACATTTTAGAAGTAAAAAAGGAAACAAGTGGAAGGCTTGTTGGGATTGTTGTTAACAGACGTGCATATACACCACACATACACACATACACACACGCATACACACACACACACATACACACACACACACACATACTTGTAATTTGCAAATGAAAGTGGCCTTTTTTATAAATTCCCCTGGAATTCCTAAACTGAAAGCCCGAACTTTTTGAAAGTAACCAAATTAGCTGAATACAATAAATAATGAGAATTCAAGAACTCATTCTTTTGGTCTTTCTTTTGGTGTGCTGTCGAAACTGCACTTCAATTATTCAGTAGGGTTTGAATGGATTTTATTGGGACTGGGACGAGGATTCAAGCATGATTCTAACAAATTTAAGTTGTAACAAAACGGGCTTTTCACGAGTTTCATGGGTACTATAGTATATTAATTACGAATAATTAATCGTCTGCAAATGCCATGCCATTCCCTTCTTTTCAGTATTTAACAATGATAATTTTACCATTCTATGAAATATATCGCAAAACAATGGAGATATTATGAAATTCAAAAAAAAAAAAAAGAAAACTAAAAAGAAATGATGTCAACATTACACAATTACACATTAGACATACAACATTTTACATTTATTGCTATCCAAACTAAGAGAAATAATCAATTTTCGAATTTCTAAAAACCATTTAATCTACTGATATATTCGGATAATTACTTAATTAATTCTATTCATGATAATTTGAAAGCGTTTGCATACTTCATTCTGGCTGTTTTTCTTTCTTTGCCAGCAAGATAAGCTAGGCTAGTGTTAACTTGTTCATTTTAGGTATGACTTTAAAGGGCTGAATTTAAAAGTCGAGTATTTGATGTATTGTTGGTGTGTTACTAATATGAATTAGTCGCATAATGTATCGTCAACTTTGATTAAAGTTAAGACTAAAAATATTTGGAGAAAGGGAATGGATCATTGTCAGAGTAATTATTTTATAACGAGAATTTGTAAAAATTATATATCTAATGAAATATTTGAGCGCAGGAGAAGGGATGGTGAAATCCTTCTATAGCAGAAAAGACACAGTGAGTTCTAAGCATTATTGCAGGAGGTTGACAAAGAAGAATGTGTCAAATTAGAATTAGAGTCACAACATTTGTTCAAATGAGTATCCTAGAGAAATGACACGAAAATTATGATGATAGAGTCGATAAAGAGGAAGGAGCAAGAATGAGATAAACGTAAGCAAGTAAGTAATGACGTTGACAATTGCGCCATGCATCCACGTGAATGAGATCACAGGCACTTTGTTTCAATTCAGTCAAATAGAATAACACAGTTCGTTGATTCATTCATTTGGCTGTTATATCATCATAAAAGAGCAAACTGAGACTGAGGAATATTCGAAAATAAAAAGAAGAAATATCACCAATGAAAGAAAAGGGAAGGAGGGAGGTTGATAGTAGTAGCTGTCATTTAATCAAAATGAAAGGTCAACAAATCACTAAATTGTTGTCTGCTTTATAGTACAAAATGCAAAATTTCAAAATATAAAGAGAGGACAAAATTTCGTAGTTCCCATATGATTGGTTAATATCTTTTGAGGAAGCCAATAGACGACAGCTAAAACACATTTCGTTAATTCATTTTGTCATCCTTTTTCATTTACCAGTTGCCGGTTATTTGTTCAAAATGTGATATAAAGTGGAGCTGAACTCCTGAGAGAATTCTCAAGAAGTATAGTCTTTTGCTGATTGTTAAATCGTCTGAGAATTGCAACCTTTCCCAAATTCTCTTCGTGGAATGATATGATATCAGTTTTAAATGAATATTTTAACAGTAATATTAGCTGTTAAATGTTGACTTTACTAAGCTCTCGATATCTTCCTGACATCTCCATTCTGAAGTTCTATCTCATGAAAAGCCTGTTCAGTAAATTTCTCAATTAAGCCGACACAATTTTAAGTACATTTCTTTGCTTTTTAAATATTCGTAGTTGACGAGTGAAAGGATACTGTAACTTGTAGTAAATGGCGCAAAAAAAAAGGTGCAGTAAATTTGGAAGGCCTTGACACAACTTATCATTAGAAATGGAAGTTCAATGGGAGAGTATCAGAAATAGTAGTCGTTAACAGAATATAATTATTCTTGGTTCAGGTGTCTGTATCCGATCGAGTAGATGATAGGCGAGATTCCTTAAGAAAAGTAAAAAGATAGGAAGGGACTGAGATCTTCCAATATGAAAATGGATAATTTTTTTTTTTAAACTGGACAGTCAAGTATTAACAAATAGATATCGTATCTTACATAAAAATGAAGAAAAAGTTACTCCAATCTGGATAAAATTTTATGCTGCAAAAGAACCTCAGTAACAATCACTGAATCGCTGCTCTTCGGATTAGTCACTCATTATTTCATAGCATCTGATATTAATATCGTTTTTCACTTGCTTATAAAAACCTTCCCGGATATCCATTCATAAAAACACCATAAATACATTTGAGATAGCAAAGTTTAGATATATTTTTTGCTAAGTTATAGTCGTAAGAATATCCATCCAGTATTCTTATGCTCCATTTCGTGAAATTTCGCAAGTGCTAATATTTGTGGACATTGATTATGTCCAACGTGACTATTATCGTTCTTCGTTTCATTTCTTGTTGGATTTATTCCATCTTAAATCTTCCGTATTCCTTTACTTTAATTATGTTGTAGATGTTAAA